TGCAGTGGCAGGGGCACTTCCAGTGGGACAGGTCTGACACACAAATAAATAAATAAATAAATAAAAAGCTGATGTTCAAAGGAGGCTCTTGGCTGCTCCCAGGGAAGGTAAGGCTGCATCTCATCCACATGCACAGGGGTTGCTATGGAGATTTGGGGTGTCTGTGCTTAAGCTCCTAAGTGTGAGAAGGTGTCAATAGACTGAGTCTAGAGCAGGGAATAACGAGGCCCTGAGCTCCATGAGGTGCAGGGCAGACACAGAAAGAGCTGAACTGAGAACTTAGCCCACAGAAATTCCCAAATGAGCCTAGAGATGCCTTGGCTCTTTCAAATGCATTTTGTAAAGTGCTGGAAACACTGGGTGACAGAAGGAAAAGAATGTAATAGTGTATTCCTGCAAGGAAAATAATAACGTGGAGAGTCGTCCCTCTCTTGAGCAGAGAAATGAGATTAGTTTAAAAAATCTAGTTTAATGCCATTTTACTTCATCTTAACTGTTAAAAAATAAGGTGAAATTTAGAAATAATTAAAAAGGGAAATTAATACTTTTGATGAAGGGAAGGAAAAGGTGTTTTGATAATGTGTTTTTGCTATTTAAAATCATGTTTGCATAGAACCCCTGAAGAGAATTGTGGCTTGGCAAACATAACTTAGTTCATCATTAGAACCATTACTAACCTAAAATAGAATGTGATTCCATGATTAGGAATAATGCTGGCTGGGGGAAGAATCATTAGTTGCCAGGTATACAGGAGGATGGAAAGAAGAAATATTTGATTTAAGTTAAAATTGCAGAGTTTCATCTTTAAATGAAAGAAGCCCTAAGATAACAAGTCACCAAGAGACTGGAGTCATTTTTGATGTGTTTTCCATCCTTGCATTTTTTCAAACACACTGTTGGGATTATCCACAAAGATCCTTCTGAGTTCCTGCTGAGGATCTGTCGTTTGTCCTGCAGGAATTGACAGGCACTGTGAGTGACAAAATGTGTTCTGCTTCACCAGCAACCTTCACTTGGTTCACACACTGACATGAAAAATGACAGTAGTAGTAGTAGTAGTAATAATAATAATAATAATAATAATAATAATAATAGTAATAATATAATCTGTTCCACCTCTTTTTTTTCCCTTTGCTGAATCCTCCTTGGGGTTTTCAGCTCTCTCCTGGCTGTGCTGGAGTTGTGCTGTTGGTTACAGTGAAGGTGTGCAGGGGACACAGGGAGAGGGGCAGCTGCCCATGGGGCACAGGTCACTCCTGTTGCAGTGTCACCCTGCTGGGCTCCTGGTGACACCACTGCCACAGCCAAGGACCTGGCCACAAGGGGGGCAGTTATTAACTGTTGTTATCTGCTCTTCAGAGTCCATGAACCGAGGCACTGGCTGCTTTAGTGGCACATGCAGGAGTAGTGCTGGCAGAAGATGCATTTGGCCTGAATTTCCTCTTCCTTACACTTCTGTCAGTGAAGTTAGTGATGATGTGTCTTTAGCTCATACAATAACTGAGGTCGTGATTGTATTCTGTGTTCTAGGTCACTGTAGATTATTGTGCTGAGCAAAAAGGTCAAGATTTGGGAGCTCCATGAAACCAATCCTGGCTAATACAGACAGATTTTGTAAGCCTGTCACCACAGAGAAGTGTGCCCATCTGCAAAATGGAAATGACTGTTCTGTTTTGCAAGGGAGATGGCAGTTGGTTATGCTGTTATCAAAATATATATAGTATGTGTTATAAATAAATACGTGTTAAAAATTCCACTTCTGATCTGTGTGAATGGAGGGAGTAAAAGTTATGTGTGCTTGCAACTCAGTCTAGGAGGAGATGCTGCCTGATGTGTGTTGATGTCAGGTCAGTTACTGAGGCACATTCATTGCAGCTCAGCCTGTCCACAGCCCAGGAGCTGCTCTGGTGCTCCAGGAATTGTGAACCCAGCTGGGACTGCACAGGTCCAGAGGAAAGCAAAGGTGCCACGGGTGCCCTTCCCCAAGTGTTGGCTCTGCTTTTCCATGGTGCCAGCACACCAGTGAATGGAGTGTTGGAGCTGGCAATGTTAAACATCAGTTTTATAAACAGTTGCTATGGTAATTGGCAAATCTTCATAAATCATTTGAAAATGAAAAGGTCCCCCTTGCCACTGGGGTTTGCTGCTGCTGCTCTGGAACATGGAGTGGTTTTGCTGACAAGGTTGCCAAACCCTGGAGTGCTCCCTGGGAGCTGGGTTTGATGAGTTCAGCATGCACAGGTTGGGTATCCTCCTTCCTGGTTGCCTGCTACAAATACCTGGAAAATCTCTCCTTTTCTACACTGGCCTCACTGGAGGTTTACCTTTCTTTTTACAGTAAGCAAAAAGCTAAAAAAGAACTGAAATTTCAGATTGCCTCTTTGTTTTTGTTTACCCCTGGGCCCGATGTGATTTGTGCAGATGGAGCCTTTGAAGTGCAGCCCTGCTGGTGCTGAGCTGTCCCCACTTTGGTGTGGCTGGGAGGGGCTGCCCTGCTCCCAGGGCTCTGGGCAATCTCACTGCAGAGAGCTTCCCTTCCTTTGCTTAACCTCTGACCTCTGAAAACAAGAGTTAATCAAAAGTTCTGAGGTAGCTAAGAGGAAGGGGAAGTGTTTGGTTACAAATTAAATATGAGCAAGTCATAAGCCATAAATCTTCAGTAGTGCTACCAGTTGTGCTACTTAAGGTCCACACGGTACAGAAAATTTTGGGTTATAAACTCAGCCTGTGTTTCTTTGGAGGGGTGTTTAAAGGCTGCCTTGAGAATTTGCTTTCTATAAGAAAAAATATCCACATTTTTTCCCTTTTTCCTTTTGGTAGACATCTAGAAACAAATTCAGATAACTATTTCTTGTGGGATTTTTTAGATTTTTGTCAACTTTTAACTGGTCACAGTTTGGTCTAATAAAAGCAGAACTGTTTTATTCTTGAGTAATCAACACATGGAATAAGTGATGAAGTAAGAGTATTGAAGATAGCAGGATAAATTAGTTATCCAATATATCCAGAAATTTATGGATGAGAGAGATCCTGAATTGTGCAGTGACAATGGAGGGGGGTGAAAACTGAAGTGAGGTTGTTTGCATCATTTTCACAGTTTTATGGTGTGTTTGTCTTCCTTTGTCTTGCCCCTCTATTGAGCAAGAGCCACACAGATCCCCATGTGTTGTGGGATGAATTCTGCTTCAAATACCAGCTCATTTCCTCAGATTGCAAACGGTGACACTGTCCTCAAAATGAGAAGTTGTTCTCAAAATAGAAAAAGAAGCAGCTATGATGAGATGTAAGCCATCACTCGGAAAACGAGGAGGAGTGGATGTTAAAAAAAGGACAATACATTCATCAGAGGATGCTGGGGAAGGGAAGGGAAGGGAGAGCCAGGGAGTCACAAGTGCAGCAGAAATGGGGCTGTGCCTGTTTCTGGGGGGGTTGCTGATGTTTTGTCACTGTGTGAATATGAGACATATCTGGGCTGTTTTTATTGGAACCACAGAGCCTCTTTCCTAGGTGCTGAATACCAAATGTAGAAATGGTTTGGGCTGGAGTATTCTCCTGGCTGGAGCCTGGAGCTGAGTGGTGTTGGGTGTGTGCTGAAATAAAGAATCAGGCAAGCCCTGGAAGCTGCAGGGGCCCAGCAGTGAGCACACACCTGGCAGGACAGGTGTGGGAGCCCTGCAGGTCACCCAGGACCTGCCCCTGCCTTGGGGTCCCTGCTCCAGCCCCCTGGGCCCTGGGGAGGTGGGGGCCGGGGAGAAGCTGCTTTTGCTTTCCTCTTTTACAGATATTGAAAGCACAGTAATGGTTTTAAGGATTCTCATTTAAACTCTGTAAATGTATTTTTCTGGCTAAGTCCCTGAGCGATTAGGTGGAACTTTTAATGGTGCCTCCGTGGAAGCAGCTTTGGTTTCCCACTGCCAGGGAGCTTTCTGCCTTCCTGCTTTTCTGTCTTCTCAAACTCTTTTGATAGATGCCTTGCACGGATTTGTTTACCAGGTTCTTAATCTCTACTTAGCAGATATGTTTGCAGAGGATTTCTTGTTACTCTTGTAATGGCTTTTAACTCCGCTGAAGTTTATTTAACTAAACAGAAAGAAAGAAACTTATCTTCTACCTAATCCTTCTGGATTGTTTACAATATAATGTCAAACTTAAATGCTGTTTAAAGTGGTAATTGTGTGTCTTTCTGCTCTATTGGAATACACACTTTGTAAAGATGTTTAGAGCATATTAATTTAAATGATAATGCTGTCATATTACATGAAAAGTTAAGTTGCTTATCAGTATATTTTGATAAGCTACTTACATTTTACAGTAGCATTTGCGGGCTTCAAACAAACGCTAATGATGGAGTGCCAGTCACTTTGTGTGTCTCATAGAGAGCTTCTCACCTCATTTATCACCAGAGCTGCACAGCCAGGGAGCACGGGGCACTCCATTCCTTACAGCTGCCAGGATGTAGTCATATTTTATAAAAACTTTAAATCCTGTCTAACTGTATCAAAATAGAATCCATTTGCTTCAGAAAGCAGCTGTGATTAAAGAGCATCAGGGAGTGCATCTCTGAGTGGCTTTGCATTCGCTGCAGCAGAGGGAAATTCCTCACTGCAGTTGGGAAAGGGATGGAAATCAAGAACTGTGCCGTGAAAACAGGGCACAGAATCCTGCCAAAGCTGCAGGGAAAAGGAACATCCTCACTCCCTTACTTTGTGGAATGGAGATCTATGTAAAGTAAATGAAAAAGATGGGATTTTTCTGCATGTTTCCCTTTTAATTTTGTTTCTTCTTCTCTTTTGGAAGTTGAGTGCATGTACTGAAGGTGAAGTTTCTGTTTGACTGAAGCAAGGGCCAGGCTAAATACAGTGATGGAATGAGATTTTAAAATAATTAAAAACTGAGATACTTATTATTCAATCTTAAAAGTCCACTTGTACTAGGATTCAAAACCAAAATAACTTTCTTTTTCTTCAAAATAATTTTCTTTTTTTTTCTTTTTTTTTCAGTTACCTCCCATGGTTTGAAGTCTTTTATAAACTGCTCAATGTCTTGGCAGATTATTCAGCAAAAGGACAGGTATTATTCTAAAATACTGGCCCTCTTTTTCCAATCCCAATATCAAATGAGAGAGGGTGAGAGGATGGAAGAAGCTGTTTGAAGAAGTGCTTCTATCAGAGATGACCATGTGAATTATTAATCTGTATGATGCAGTGATACAGAAAATCACATTCAGCTTGGCAAGTGCCTCTGAAAAATAAATACACATTTAATTTTCTTTTGGAAGGATAAAGTGCAAGGCTGTGGCTGTGGATGTGACCCAAGTCCCTGCAGTCAGCCATGCTGGCCCTGCTGACTCCCTGAGCTGTGTTGAGCACAGTTCTGTAATTCTGCAGTTCCTGTGCTGCACAGTCCCATCAGTCTCTGCCAGGGATCTGATCCAAGTTTCTCATGGGCTCTCAAAGTAGAACTGATCTTACAAATGCAAAATGTTTACCCACCCCTCTGGCCTACCCTGCCTTTCTGCCTTGGAGTTTACCTGGTGGCAGCAGTGCCTGCTCAGTATTCCTGGTTTATTCTTGTTTTCATTTCAGGATAGTCAGAGGAGTGAGCTCCTGGAAACATTTCATAAACTTACCATCCCTGAGCCAGGAACCTCTGTTCATCTTGGAGTGGTAAGTGTGGGGTGGGGGAAGTCAACTAAGGTGTTTAATATTCATCCCTGTCATAGCAGAGGAATGTCAAAGTAATCCTCTCTCCTGGAGCTTGTACAGGTGTTGTTTTCCTGTGAGGAGCTGTGAAATTCCCTTTTCACATTGGGGCCCTCTGCTTCCCTCTCCCTAACCTCAGCTATCTTTGGAACAGTCGATTGGAGGAAGGCTGTGTACTCCCCTGGGAATGTCTCACCGTGTCCTCAGTGACCTGCAGGAGGCCAGGAGCACCAAGGGACATTTATTGCCCACCCTTCTGCACAGCTCCTGGCCCTGGGAGCTTGAAGGGAGAGCAGGCACTTACCTGTCACACAGCCTTGGGAGTATTAACTGCTCATCACATTTTCTGGTTCCTCCTTCTCTTCCTTCCCCTGCCTCAAAAAACATCACACAAAAAAGAATTTATTTCATTTTCATATTTTGTGAGAAAATTAAGCAAAGCACACTGACAGTATAGATGTGGGATTTTATTGATAGGATTGTATTTTGAATTTAGTCTTTTGGAGTTTTTGTCTTTCTTTTCTGCAGCACAGCCTTTTTCTCCAGGCTGTGCTGAGCACTGCAGGTGCTCCTTGCTGCTGCTGCCAGCTGAGAGTTCATGTGGGCCCTCCTGGGAAGTCTCCCTTGCATTTCCTTCACTCCTCCTGAAGCACTTTCTGGCAGGAAGCAGCTCATGGCCCGTGCTGCCCCAAGGCTGGCAGTGCCCAGGGAGCAGCTGTGTGGCCCTGCTGGTCCCAGCTGGCCCTGGACTCGTCCCCAGCCCCTCGGAGATCCCTCCTGAGCAGCAGCATTTCTGTTTAGGGCATGAGCTTTCTCCCAAGGCCGGGGGCAGTGGGGATATTCCAGTTTTTTCATCCCAGTGGTTCCAAGGAATGCTGTCTGTCTCAGACATTTCATGGGCAATGGAGCAAGAAAGGGTAGAAAAAGCTGCCCAGGGACCAGGGACCGTGTCTTTCTCATTTTCTTTTGGCTGTTTCTGAGCCCATTGCAGGGTTGGAGCAAGGTTGCTCTGTGTGATACAGCTCTGAGTGCTGTTCCTCTGCCTTGGCATTGCATCTTTGCAACCAAAACAAACCAGTGATGCATCAGAAAGCAAAAGTTGTGTTTCTCATTTAGTGTCTCTGTTCGGTGGAGCTGTGGTCCCCCCGCCTGCTATTTCAGGTTCCAGCCTGATCAGGAAGCACTGAGATGGCTGAGATTTGTGTGCAAGAGAATTGTGCCAGTTGTGGAGCTGTGCCAAGGATGGAACAGCCTTTAAGGCTTCAGCCAGTAATTAATAAGTAGCCATAAGACAAATTGTGAAGATATTAAAAATTATGTGAATTGTATGCAAGTCACATTCTCTCCTTTCCAAAGCCCTGACCAAGGATCATGCAAGACATCCGTGGTCAGACTGGGAGCTGGAGTGAACCTGGGCTCCTGGAATTCAGACAATTAAAAACATTGACAATAGAATGGATTATGAAAGCAATATGATCTTTTGAAATGTGCTTTTAGGGTGTATAAAAGTGACTTAGAAGTTTTCAGTGTTTCTCAGGTAAGCAGGCCCTGAAGCTTGGGAAGCATTTCCCAGTGCATTTCCAGAAGTTCCCCCTTGGCTGGAATGAACCTCCCTGGTGCAGTGAGTCAGAGAAGGCCCTGCCTGCTTGAATTGCAGCCTGCCTTGGAGTTTCCTTGGCATCTGTCTGTAGCAGCAGCTCTGAAGAATAAAACCATGGAATTTAACTTTCCAGAGCATTTGATACTTTCTATCTTACTGCATTTCCTCTTGCCCCTGTGATCTGGGAACCCAGCCTGTGGAATCCAGGACAGAGAACTCAGGCTGGTATTTGGTAATGAACGTTCTGTCATTTTTACTTAGCTGAGCAACTGCTGTACTGCTGATACCAATATCAAACAATAAATTTAGATTGCTTTGGACATTATTGAAATAATCGATATTTGCTTTTTTTGTAGCACTCTTACTTTACTGTGCCTGACACCAGAGAGCTTCCCAGTATACCTGAAAATGTGAGTATTTGGGAGGACCCTACACTTTATTGTTTCCATTTAATGTCAGCAGCTGCATAGATGACAAATATTGCTCTGTTTGGGAACGGTTTTATTCTGTAAAATGCTGAGCATTCAGGAGCTGACAATCTGTGTGTGTGATTAAAAGCTGAACTGTATGAAGGACAAGGTACTGATGGACAGATTGATGTGGGTAAAACAGCAGCTCTGATAATCCCTCACTCTGGAAGAGTGACCTGAGAGAGCAGGGAAAGCTCTGTGCTTGCTGCATGGCTCCTGAGAGTGCCAGGCACACCTGGGCTCTTTAGAGCCACTTTTTGGGAGAGTTTTTAAGCCTCACACACTCGTGTGTGTTCCAGCCTGGCTCAGCTTTCCAGCCAGATGATAAGTGTTTGGGGAGACAATGCTGGCATTTGCTTCTCTTAAATACTCTTTAATGTGCTCCTGCTCTGTCTCAGCCAAACTCCTGTGCCTGACATCTCCCTTTTCTCTCCTGAGCATTTTGCAGTCGGTCTCAGCATCACATTCTCCACTTGATGGCAGGAAAGAAAAAAGGGAATCATCAAGACATTCCATCTCATTTGTGGGTGATTTGTATAGCAGATAGCATTCAGGGCTTTTTGTTTGCCTTTCAAAATCCTGTTGCTGATTTTTCTGTGTTGCAGACTCTTCACACTGACACATATGCCGACAGGAAATTTAATAGATGTGCTCCTTCTTCTGAGGTGCTTTATTTTTGTACAAATATGATACACTGAGTGTAATTCAGGAATCAATTCCTGAGTCTAAACCAGCCCTGAAATCTTGTCCTAATTCATAGAATCATAAAATCCCAGAATGATTTGTTTGGAAGGGACCTTAAAGCCCATCCAGTGCCATCCCCTGCCACGGGCAGTGACAGCTTCCACTATCCTAGATTGTGTAATTCCTTAGGAGTTTTTTATCTGCCTGTTAAAGCAATTTGCACTAAAAAAGTGGAGCATATTAGGGAATAATACAAGAGATTAAATGGGCATAAGTCTAGTGTATTTTAATCAGTTGACCTGATTTATTAAAAATTCCACATATCTTACCAGGAATTGCATTTAAAACCCATATTAGCAAAAGTTTTAGCGGTGCCAAACTTTGAAATTGGATGTGATAATGGAGAGCTGCAGAGAGCTCTGTTTGGAGTGTTAACAAACCTCCTGCAATTACCTGACTTTGTCAGATCAATATGTTTAATGAGTCACAGAACCATTTAGCATGAGCACTTTTCTATAGCAGCAACTCATTCCCTACTGCAGGAGATGTGAGTTGGGTGAGGGATGTGTAAATGCAGAGGGACTTCAGAAATAAATGGGGTAGGTTGCAGGAAATACAGTGCCAGGCTGAAGTTCCTGGTACTAACTGTTGTGTTTCAGAAGCAGCAGGTAAGTTAAAGGCAGAAATGATGGCATTTTCTTGGGGATGATGTCCTGTGTATTCTTGTATCACTCGGTCCATGTTCCTCTTCAGATGATGGTGGAAGAGAAGTGGGTGATTTTGAATCTCAGCAGTCAGTGTGTGTTTATTGATATTAGATAGCCAACAATCAGATGGATGATTGATCTGGGAATGAGCTTTCAAAGGAGTGTGAGGGAGTTCTGTAGTGCTCTTGGTGAATTTTGAGAGGAGTGGGGATACCTGTTCTGAAAATCCCCCTTTTTACTGCCCCAAGAAAGGTTTAAATCCTAGGAAGCAAAAGACATGACAATTACCCTGCAAACTGGAACGCTTTCATTTGTATTTATTTAACTCATTCATGGTTTTGTCACTTACGAGACATGTCTTTCAAAATACATGTGTAAGTCCCAATTTCAGCTTCAGAGCTGACAGCTTTCTTATAAATACAACTTCGAGGGAACACGTGAATCTCCTCAGTACCAATACATTTCCATGCAGCCCACATGGTTCCCAGGTGTCCTTGGCAAATCTCGGAGAGCAGACAAGACTGAAACCTTAGAAATCTTTCCATCTGAAGGTACATTTGTGTGTCATGTCATCACAATAAACTCGATGAAAGAACAATTGCAAATCAAGTCCCCACGTCTATTTTCCCCTTGCAGTGGAGGCTGTTGCCTCCCAGACAGATCCCTGTGGAGCAGGGCTGCATCCTCGGGCTGCATGCAGGGATTGTGTGCTGCCTTTGCTGTGCCCCTGAGCTGGGTGGCATCAAAGGGAGTTCAGGGCTCCTTAAAAATTCTTTTAATTCCCACTATTAGCAGGAATGGTGTCGTCACGCGCTGTGTTTTGGCGTGGTGGAAGGGTGGGTGAGAGGGGGAAGAAGAGCTGTAGAGAAGACAGCTTATGTTTAGACAAAAATATCATGTTAATCAGCACAGATGGGATGAGAAATACAGAAAAAGTACATGATAGTTTAATAGGTTTTTGGCAAAACGTGTTGGCTTTTTTTTTTCCTCCTTTGACTGTACCTGTCTGTGGCTCCAGCTCTGCTGTAACAAAGACCTGAATGATTGTTTTATTTTACATGTTTGAAGCCAACCATAATGAGCTCAGTTTTTATCCCTCTACATACTGGTACCAAAGTCTCCCAAATACAATGCTTAATTTTCCTTCAGTTCTTTGTGTTTGGATGGCAAGCTGGGGAACATATTTTTGCACAGTATGAAGCATCTTGGCAGACTTCTCAGGCCAAGTATCTTGGATCTGTCAAAAGTGCTAATAGGCTTTGTTGAGCTTCTTTAAGTTTCTAAATCATATTTGCTTTTTGCTTTTCTGCACTTTTTTATTTAAGGATGATTAAGATTGCACTTGAATTCATGACTAATCTAATTTTGCTCTCACATGTGCTTTTTGTATAAGGCTGTCTTTATCCTATAGCAACCCTTTCATGTCTGTAAGAAGCTATTTGGAAACAAATTCCCTAATTCAGCATTTTTGGGTATTACCTTTTCCTCCACCTCTCCCCTTTTCTTTAATTTCCATGTTTTAAGAAGTAAAGTGCTCAGAGAGAGAATTCCCTTCCTCCTGCCTCAGCCTCCCCAGGGAAGTGCTCCTGTCTCCCACCCAGGGATGTCTGAAGTGAGGGGTTCAGTTCAGACAACTGGGTTTGTGTGTCTGAAATGCCCAGATGTGTTCCCAATAGTCAGAATTGTTTTAGCACAGGCTGAGCTCACAACTGAATTTGCTGTATTAGAATTGGCCTCTGAGAGCTGCTTTTAGTTTTGGGATGTGGGTTTTTGGTACTTTATCAGGCAGCTTTGAAGTCTCCATAAAAGTGACAGAACGTTTTTTTTTTCTCAGAAAAGTGTCTTGTATTCAAAAAGCTGTGTGTGAAACATCATCACTTTTATTACTCCAAGGCCCAGCTCCCCAAAGCTTTGGGGAGAGATACTGCACTTAGAGAGGCCTCTGCCATGAGATGAAATCCTGCTTGCTTTTGTTAAGCCCTGTACTGGATGTAGCACAATGGAAGGATGAGATCGCTTCGGTTTGGGGAATTTTTTTTGTTTGATTTTTTTGGCTGTTATTTTGTAAGGACACTTGGTTTTGTAATATCATGAGTCAAAAATGATTCTTCTCTCTCCCCAGAGAAATCTGACAGAGTATTTTGTGGCAGTTGATGTCAACAACATGCTGCATCTCTACGCCAGCATGCTGTACGAGCGCCGCATCCTCATTTGCTGTAGTAAGCTGAGCACTGTAAGTGAACTGCACAACAATTCCTTCTACTCACAGTAGTTAATTTTTTTTTTTTAATTACAGTCATATGTAGGAAATTAACTGATCTCCAGGTCCAGCTTTCAACCTTAGTTATGCCACCTCAGTTCTGTGCCTTATGTGAGGATTTTGTGCAACTTCTGTCGGTCCCCAATGTTCAAAAGAACTTTTTGGATACAGGGATTTTTGTGGTTGTTTGGTTCACGAATGTTCAAAGACTTATGCCATAGCAAAGTCCTTTATTCAGAATTTACTTGACAGGAAAAAAAAAAGACAAATGACACTGTCAAATGGATGTTCCAGTGACCTTTTTGGATGGACCAGAGGAGTGGGCTGAAGTACACTGACAAGTCACAGTTTCGCAGTTGTGTTTGATAAGGTTTAGTCTTAATGCTCCTTAGGCTCCATCAAGTGTCTGAGAGATGAAAGCTGCTGAATATTCTACTCTCTTCTAAAAATGGCTGGAGATCAAAACAAGCACAGGGCTTGATTCAGTTCAAAGTTTTGTGTTATGCATTTCAAGGTTTGGCAGTCAATAAGATTGTGATTTTCTTTATGAAAGCAAATGCTCAGTGGTCATCGTGTTTGCTCTGTAAATGGCTATTGATTGCTTTCCTTTGTGAGTGCTGAAGATGGTTTAACTGATTTTGGTTTCTAGTGCTGTGGGCTGAGCACTTGAGCAGTCCTGGCTGAAGTACAGCTGCCATTTCCATTTCCTGGGGCTCTAACTGTGTCTGGCTGTACCACCAGACCTGCTGGTGCTTGAGATTCCAAGTGCTCCATGGCCCTGTGAGTGCTCTGCCAGGCTGGAGGGATGGCCACAAACCCTCGTAGGGATGCTCTGTCAGCACAGGGCAGAGAAATGAGAGGAGTGAGACCTCAGACTTAATCCCACAATAACAATTACAGTATCATTTTGGAAGGTAAGCAAAAGGAGAATTATAATAGCCTCTGGCATCTAATAACAATTATTAATAATGTTTACAATCAATCCCACATTTAACTGAAAGCATTTAGGTATTATTAAGTTTAATACCATAGAAAACTTGTAAAATCTTAACTTCTCTATCTGCCACATGTTCTATGTCCTCACTACTAAAATAAGTAAAATTCCATCCAAGTCTGGTAATGGAATAAAATGAAGGAGAAGTGTTTATTTCAGCAACCTACGGAATGAAAAGAACAGTAAATGATCAGAGAGGAGGGAAGAAGAGAAGGGCTGCCCAAAGTATTTCAGAGGTTGTGTGGTTGGTTGGTTTAATCTCTCCCTTTGTGACAGAGCCTGGGAAGAGGAATTACTTACCTGTCACTGTGCCTTCCTTAATGAGCCAGTTCACAAGTGGGGCTGGGTTTTTTTCCTCTCTTTCTGCTATTTCTCTTCCTTTTGCCTCTGTCCAAGATAAAAGCACGTCTGGTTCTTGGGAGGGAGGGGTATTCATACTGTGTGTTCTTAGCTTACAAGTTTCTCTCTAAACTGCTGGCAGATTGGAGTGACAGTGTGAGGCAGGTTTGAGGAGCTGGGCCCGAGCCAGCGGTTGCCGCTCGCCGTTCCAGCCCAGGAACATTCTCTGCTCTCAGCCTGTGCTTGGCAGTGCCAAGACCTTGTCCCTGGAAAGGAACCAAACCCCCCATTCCCTGAGTGCAGCCAGCCTGGGGGGCTGCTCAGGGGCTGCTGCCTTTGTTTGCAGCTTTTAGCTTTTTAACACCAAAGTGGAAGGGACCTGTTTGCAGTTCATTTCTGTGAGCCTTGGGAGACACACTTCAGATTTAGGGCTTGAATTTAATACCAGGTAAGAGACAGAAAACAAAACCACCCTGGATAGAAAAGCTTTTATAGTGGAATGAATTCTGTGCTACAATACATGACCTCAAATTCAGATTTTGATTTTAAATATCCTTATTTTCTTAAGTTGAATAAGATTTAGAGGTAACTGAACAAAGCTGTGTTTGTTAGCTGTTCATAAACCATGTGTGCTGAACCCATGGAGAAATGATAGCTGTTTGCTTGGATTTTGCTCTTCTTCTCTACAAATGGAAATGCAGATAATTTCTCAGAATGTTAGAACAGTTATTCCTGTTAAATTTCATTATATATTCTGTGATCTAACTCCTCAAGAAAAGCCAGATATGAACCAAAATGATGAATCCCCTGTGCCTGGCAGAAGCTCACCTGCTGGTGGGAGCATGCTGCTGCAGAAATGAAAGCAGAGCTCTCCTTGCCTCCAGAATTCTCTTTTCCTTCAGGATTTGCTGCCTGGCCACCCCAAGGTGTTTCCTGGCTGGGAGCAGGGCAGCAGCACTCTGCTCTCACTGTAAGGTGTCTTACATGAGGCTCCGAAATGACTTCAGCTTGGGGATTTCAGGATGTTTCTGTCAGGCTCCATCATACTGAGGTGGATTTCTTTGCTTGATTTTTCTGTGATTTTTGTGAGTTTTAGCACAAAGCAAAGAATCCCATAGTGACATGGGTGCTGCTTTGATCCTGGAGCAGAGCTTCCCGTGCTGCTGCTGCCACAGCACAGGGAGCTCTGACACAGCCTCTTCATCCCTGGCTGGGGTCTGATGGTGAGGAATTAGAACAGCACATGAACAGTTTGATACCCTACCTGTGCTAGAAGGAATGTCATGGTTTGCCTTTGCTTAGTTTGATGTCAGACACCTTCAGGCACACAGAGCCCTCAGTCCCTTAGAGTTTGTCTCCTCAGGACTTGTCAGCAGCACTGTCCCTCCTTCCCCCTGCCCACAAGGCATTCAGTGCTCAGTTTCCTCCTGCCTTCTGAGAACTGTGAGCATTTGTTGGGAGTTGTGTTCAAAACCTCTCTCACAAGTGAAGCTCAGTGCAGTGCTTGTGCTGGTGTCCCTGGAGATGAAAGGACACTGAATTGGGGACCTGGGCAGGGTGGATGTGACTCTTCCCTGTCACCTCTTAGTCTGCCTTGGATGTGTCTGTGTGAATACTCAGATTTATTTGTTTATTTTATTGCCCCAAGTGCTCATATCCTTTTCTTACAGTATTTCACCTGTAGCTTTTGCTGAGATTGGCTTATTGAGCATTACCACCTGCTCCATATTAATATCCTTGGTGAATGTGACAAATATCCTGCTTATCTCCTTTTCCAAATTAATAATTATTGTTTGAAAAAGAATTGAGAGCAGTAATTTCCTCTGTGAGGATTCTCCCCATGGCTTCACTGGCACTTGGCTTTGCTGTTTCAGTACCTGTCACACCAAAACTCTTCTGCATGATATTTTAGCAATATAACTGAGCAGTCAATGGATCAGATGATTAGGTGAAGAGCAATTAGATAAAATTCCCTTTTAAATCATCAAGATTCAATCACTGTGTTTTTAAGAAATGCGTGCCACTGTTTTTTCAGTTGATGTTATAATTTCAGAGCAGTTTTATAATATTTAATGGATGGTAATTTCCAGGTTTGGGAGATTGGCCATTACAATTTCTTCATTCCCTTTGTGTTTTCATTTCCATGTTTCTGTTGCTTTGTACAATGCTGGGTGTTCTTTGCAGGCTGGGTTTGAATGAGTCACGTTCTCAGCTGTTCACAAAGTCAGGCAATGGCAGCCACTCCTGCTGTCCCTGAGACCTTTGTTTTTGCTGTGTGTTTTCTAATAAAGCATTGATAGGAAAGCAGAATTGATTCTTCACTTTCTTGTCTCCAAGCTTACCATTAGAGGCTTGGGGTTTGGTCATTTCTGCTGTGGTTTCTCTGTGTTTCAGTTAACTGCCTGCATCCACGGGTCTGCGGCCATGCTCTACCCGATGTTCTGGCAGCACGTTTACATTCCTGTCCTGCCCCCACATCTCCTGGACTACTGCTGGTAAGGTTCTGTGTGTGTGTGTGTGTCCCTCACACCCACTGCACTGGCCACATGGCCTGGAGTGAGTGTGAAGCCTCTCCTGGTGCAGCTGCTCCTGGGGATCCAGCTGGATAAAACCAGCAGGGACTGAAGGCCTGGGAGCCAAACGGTGCAGCTTTAAAGGAAGTTTGCTCCCGTGCAGCTGATTTAAATGTTGTGTGTGCCTGCGTGGGGGAACAGGAATCTAAAGATTATCTCCTGTGGAAATGAGCCTTCCCTGGCTCCCTGCACAGGAAGGGCAGGTCCCAGTCATTTGCAGTGCCAGCAGGTGCCTTTCCCTGGATAATGGGCTTCTCACGTGTAATTAACACTTGGAGACGCTGCCCCAGCTCCCCTCAGGTACCTGCTGCTCCAGGGCTCAGCACAGGCTTTGCCTTCAGAGATCAGTTATTCATGGACTTCCTGACACAGGCAGGGACAGGGGTGAAAAAGCAAACCCTGGGGCAGGAGGGAAAGGCAGGAGTCACTGAGCATCGCTGAGGGGACCCTTCTGGGGCCAGCAGCCGGCCATGGCAGGAGGGAGCCAGGGTGTGTGCAAAGAATGATTTCAAAATGTACAACTGTCAGGCAGCTCACAAATGCAACAACTGATTTCCTTACCCAGCCAGGAACTTTAATTGGAAAGGTAGCTACACACTCTGTCATTGTTTGAGTAAGTCAATTTAGCAACAATTTATGTGCCATAAAATATTTCCCAAAATAGAGTCCACCTTCTCTTTTGTAACCGTGTGAACTTGGAGATGCCATTTTTGCCTGGGAGGACTGAGCAATCAGCTCCCTGCTTTAAGGCAGTATTTCTGCTTCCTGGTGTCTGCCTCTAAAGGGAAATGACCTGAGATTATCTAAAATAGAAGAATTCCACTTCATTTTAATTATTGCCTGGTTATTTCTTTTGCAAATATGACATAAGGATTTTAGAGAGCTGAAATGGGAATAAAACTTGAAGCAATGAGAATTCTTCAGTTCTTATGAATACAGAATATCTTGTTCATTCAGTTGGCTGTGCTCATTTACTGACTGTGCTGTGATGTTTTGAGTCTTCTGCTCTTTTGAAACTCACAGAAGGATGGATAGACTGTGTCACTTGAGATCTTTGAAAGTTTTTTGAAAAAAGTATATTTCACCTGTGATTATTTGCCTTTTGCTTCCCATTTCCCTCTTGAAAGGGTTTTCTTAAACTTCATATTTCTGTTCCCTGCATTCCTCACTGATGTACCTTCCCTCAGAACTGCAGATGCTGAAAGGCTGTGTCTCCCAGATGTTTGTTCTCACTGCACGGGGATGCTGACTCAGTGCTGCTGCTGGATCCTCCGTGGATCTGCAATGGCTTCAGTCACCTCATCCCTGTCATGTTGACAACAGGGGAGGGGGCAAGGGGAAGAGTGCTATCCTTTATTTTTATTTTTTAATTAGGCACTGCTCTTTAAGGTATTTTTAGCCCCGGGAATCATTTTGGGTGCAGGAGACTCGAGTCCTGTCACAGGATTCCTTAGGTTAATGCACAGCTGCTTGTTGCTGTGATGGCAGAGCAGCAGAGGGAGCAGAGCAGCACTGCTGGGGCTGGCCTGGGGCTCTTGGGTTGGGTTTTGTTTGTTTGGAGCACGGGCCAGCAGGTGCCAGAAGTGCTGGTCAGTGAGGTGCTGCCACCAAGCACCGACAGTCAGGCACTCACAACAACTACTCCAATTTGGCCAGAACTTGCCCATCTATTTTATTGGGAATTTAAACATTTGGTGATGTGAAAGAAGCAGTGCATCAATTTTCCTCACTACTTTTCCCACTTTGTTTTCTGTGTGCCATAAAACCACTCCCACCGTGTCTGTTTGCTTTCTTCTTGCTCTCAGTTTAAAATGAGCTCTTAGAAAAGCCTGGCTTTGCTGAGCTGAGCCCCAGAGCTTTGTCAGCAGAAGAAACAGTACATTTTGTAGGGTGAGTAAAGCAGTCTTTTCTATCAGACAGGCAGCTTAGCAGAATGAATAATTCTGAGAGCACCCTGGCACAGCTGCTGAACAAACACTTCTCTTGGGGCAGTTTGCCCTTTCTCCAGGAGTCTTTTCTAGCCCCTTTCTCCTATTTTCTAAATCTGCACGTAGTCCATGTGCTCCTGGAGTAGGTGGGGGTGGAGCTGGAGTCCTCCTGCTGCTGGGAACAAAGATTCCTGCCCAGGGAGCCCTGGGTGGGCACTGCCATTGAGCCTGGCACACCTGGGCACTCACTAAAGCCTCTTGGAGCTCTCTCCTGGTGTCAGAGCTGTGCCTTCTCTGCATCCTTCCAATTTATGCAGTCAGGTTTCTAATTTGCATCAATTACCCCAATAAATTTCGGGTGGAATTCTGTTGCATTTCAATGAGGAATCTGAAGAGAAATCAGGAGACTGCCCTGGAGAGGGAAGTGCCAGTGGTGGGAGACAGGCACCCCTTAAGTCAATGTTTGTAGAGCAGCTCATGAATGTGGTAAATGTGCTCTCATCCATTTTCCTGCAACAATGAAGCAAAATGGTGAAATCCCTGTGTAGCTGTAAATAGGAACCTTTTGGAGATCCTTGGGCTTTTACATTACTTTCCTGGTGAATTGCAGTGTTTTTTAAGGCTGGGCTTTTTTCACTTAAGAAGAAATGTCCCTCTATTTCACCTGCTTCTCTTCCAATTAGTAGTTGCCCACCTCTTGGGAGCATAATTAAGAGGTCTCTAGTTTGCCTAAGGAAACGAATTAAAGAAATTGTAAAAATGCAACTGTAATAAATAGGCAATATATAGCCATTATGTCCCCAAAATCCATATTCATGCTTATGCATTGCTACTTTAATGATTTGATATTTACCTATATAACTCATTTGATTATAAATAAGGCTGATTGCCTTGGGAGCCAGCATAGCACAAGAGGAGTAATGACCCCTCTCTTTGTTCCAAAAGGCTCATGCAGGCACTTTGTTTGAGCAGTAAATACATGTGGTAGAAACTGATACTTCTTAATTTTGCACTTAATGGCTATTGGCTGCCAGCAAACAACTTTGAGTAATTAGTAGTTGTGGCTGTAAGAAGCCCCAGGACTGATGAAGTGTCAAGCAGTGGGGAAGGCCTGCTCTGAAGGGCAGTCTTTAATCTGCCAGGGCTCCCAGAAGGATTAAAGGTTGTGCTGAGTGTTTCTGCCCTTTATACAAGGGATGTGTCTTGCTGAACTTCACTTGGAAGTCTTGCAAGTACAAATCTACCCTGATCAAATATTGAAAACTGCTGGAGTGCTCCACGGCTCGGGAGCTGAATGGAAGTGAGGAGGGAGTGTTTGAGTGTGCCCTGGCTGGGGAGGGGGGACACACCACATTCCCCTGCACAGGATGCTAAAGGTCCACTTAAATAATGGGCAAGAGAAATGGTGATAAAAGCAATTTATGAAGCCTGACGTGAACTTTGGGCATTTACTTCTAGGTGTGTTTCCTATTCAGTCATATTGATGAGTGATGATGGAAGAATAGAATCTCTCTGGTAGATTTTATTGGAAATATTTATGCTCTTTACCAGAATTGCATTTTATTGAGGTTATTTATGCAGTTCCTGAAATTATTTTATGTGCTGTATTGCCCTTACATGTAATATTTGTCACTTCAAAATTGAAAAGATGAGCCTCTGCATTCAAAGCTGATCCAAGTATCTCAAGCTATATCTTTTCTTCCTACTTTGGAGGTGTTAATAAATGGCTGGTTTTCAGGAATACTGCACTCTTCCTGCTTCCTTTCATTACATTAGCCAAGGTTCCAGTAGATGAGACGTTTGCAGGCTAAGACTTCCTGCCGTGGTCCCGGCTCTGTAGGGTGGGGATTGAAGCTGTGCTGTCCTTAATTGGAACCACATTGGTGCTGGTGGCACCGGAGGGGCTGGAGCAGCCAGAGCCAGAGCAGGGCTTCATTCCCTCAGTATAAAATTCCTGGCTGTTCTCTTGCCCCGGGTTGTGGCCCCTGGAGCTGAAGAGATGGCATTGTCACAACGAGACGTGTGTGTGACAGAGCAGGGCTCAGCTGAGCAGCCCTCGTGTGTCCTGGGGAGCAGCCAGACCTGCCACGGACTGGGGCGTGTTCCAGGTGCCCCCTGTGGGATCCCCAGGACGCAGAACATTTGGGATAATTCTGTGCTCTAGCAGCCCCTCTGGGCTCTTTCCCAGGGGGCTGTGGAGGTGCACTCATTGCAGTGGGACAGGGCACTGGAGTGTTCTGCCACTGAACTGGGAAGGGCTTGTGGAAGTTGTATGTGTTTAATGTCTCAGAAAGAAAATAAATGGATTCACATGGAATGTGTGCTGCAGGGGCTGTTTTCACCTACAGAGTGGCAGTTTGAGGGGGTGTATTAATAAACAACATAAATATTAATATGCTTATCAGTAAATATATTTTTAAAGGTATTTCTCAGGAAAAGGAGAGGCAGGGATTTTTGCTGGCCTGGTGTCTCAGGAGCTTTTTCAGCACTGTACTGCTCTTACTGAGCAGTAGGCACCAGCTTAGAGCAGCAATATGGGAGATATTTTAATCCAAGGCAGTACAGTGACATTTCTCTCATTTTTTTCATCTGAAATTGAAAATGAGCTCTTTGAGTTTGTGCATCCAAAGCGAGCTGAGGCTCTATTTTAGAAGTTGTGTCTGTCTGTGTGCGCTGCGTTTCGCAGGCAGGATGTGCCATATTTGCAATTAGCAGCTCTGGCAGCCTCGCTGATGGCTCTGATTGCGAGGGGGAGGCTGGGAGCAGCTCAGCCTTGCAAATCCTGGACAAGGACACGCGGCTCCCACCGGGGCTCTGCTCAGGGGAGGGACCTGGAGAACGTCACTGTCCCCTTAACCGCTGCTGTTCTGTGGGCTGACAAAGGTGTCACCCCTGTCCCAGGCCAAAACCTGGCCTAAGAGCCCCTGGGCTATTGAACTTTTGTGTCCTGGGGGGAATGTTGGTATCAGTGGGTGTCCCAGGAACTCTGGAGCTTATCAGGATCTTCAAAAGTGTTTTTTATGTTTTCTTTTACAAATGAGAACATGTCAAGATTTGTACTTAAAAGTACATTACTTAAAAATGTTTGGACTCATTAAAAAAATTCAGAACTAGTAGTACTGGGTGATATGAATACATTAAATTAACCACTTGACACTACAGTAAGGTCAAGTTTTTGAACGAACACTCTTGGAAAAATCCAGGTGTGTTTTTACCATTGCAATAACATGTTTTGTTTGGTTTTCAAGCAGAAGACCCCAGTGTTAGGGATGTGTTTAAACACTGTCCTTAGGTACCTGCCTAAAGTTAGCCACTTAGAAATTCTGATGTCAAGAAAAAGCAAAGTCTTACAGGAGTGGGAGGCTATTGCATACTAAAAACCATCTTTCCAATATGGACTAACACTTTGTTCACGTGTGATTTGTTTGGATATATGTATCTATTATTTTTTTAAGCAAAATTGAATCCAGTATGCCAGTGTTTTCCTGTAGCTAATTTTACAAGTCATGTGTGTTATTCAGCGTTACAAGGGTGTAAAGCTGTGTTTCTTTTCCTCTCTGCAGTGCCCCCATGCCCTACCTCATTGGAATACACTTAAGTCTGATGGAGGTAAGTCTCCCCATTTCTGAAGATTCTGCAAGCAATTACACATTCATTCATGTGCTTAAAAAGGAAATAATGCTGTTAATTTGGGAGTGCTGGGGGGGTTGAGTGAGGCATTCACGATAACATTGGATCTTCAGGAGCCTGATCTGCTCCCTGCTCTCCTTGGGCAGAGTTCCCCAAGCTCAGTCGTGCTCCCCTCCCTGCCCTGGGGCCTCGTTTAATCAGTTCAGTGCCTTGCTTGGACTCAGGCACAAAGGCAGAGTCGATATTAAACCACAATGTTGACAGTTACAGTTCTCTTTTAGGCTTTTGCAGACAGATTGTAATTTTTTTAATGTTCAAAAGATCTGAAAAGAAGGAACTTGCAGTTAATGTTAACACAAAGCTGGCAGAGCACCAGCCCTCACAGAAAGCTTCTCCTATAAACAATTCCCAGTAATTCATGTGACTTTTTTTAAAAAACTCTAAAAGTGGAAATAGCACATTTGCTTTTGCTTCCAGTACTGGTGAAACAGTGGATGACTTTCCTCAAAAGTATCTGGGGGACAGCAAAAGACATTGATTTAAGGTGCCTGTGAAATCCTCATCCTTCCTGAGTGTGCCCTTCCCTGGGAGTGCCCAGGGAGCTCCTGGGGCAGGGCTGGAGCTGGGTCTGCTCTGGGCATGGGTGTCCCTGTGCCCCTGGTTCAGAGCCTGGCTGGAAATGGAGCCTTCGTGTTCAGGGTACAGAACAGTTTAGAGAGCTGGGGTTTACACCACATCAAGGAATTGTTCTTGTATTGTCCATAAAAATGTGTCATTTCTGGAAATATTGATGAATATTCTTTCACTAGGGCAAATGTGTGTAATAATGATTCCCTGTGTGTTTGTGTGTGCTGTGTAACATCCCCCCTTTTTCCAGCATCAATGGGAGGTAATTTTAGAAGTCAGTTTTTTCATGAAAAGATAGATTAAATGTACAGGATGTCTTTTTTCTTCTCCATACTGTCCTGGGTACAGATGATTTTTATGCCCTTTGTACTGCTAAGCCAAGTAAAGAATTGCAGTACAATGTGTTTGTGAATAACCAGTTAGTTTAAAAGCCAACATGTACATTTGTTTGCACATCATATTCTTCTGTTCAAGGGGTACTCATAATCACCCTTGGATACTGCACAGGCAGGAGTCAGGGAATATCTAGGAAGAAATGTATTTTTCAAATCAGTCAAGAAACTTTCTGCCCCATATCCACCCCAGGCAATCATTGGTGTGATTATTGGGATATCTGTAAAAGATGATGGGAGAATATCTCCATGCACACACTTGGCAGCTTTCACAGATATTTGTGCTCACAAAAAGCTCTGTGGTTGGCCTGGGAATGGATTAAAAAAAAATATTAATAATTACACCTTGGAGTTGCTTTGTGTGATGTCTCACTCCTGCCTTGCTCCATAAATCCATTGCCTCTTCCTTTGTCTCTGTGTTTCAGACTGCAAGGCTCTGTGGGCCTTCCAAACTCCATCTGTAAAAACTCAAAAAAAGGAGTTGTTCTTGGAGAAGCCAATTTTCATCCATTTTAGTAACTTGTGAAAAAATCTGTTTAGTACTAAATCCAGTCTGGCTTTTGAATAGCCAGAGATTCTGGAACACAGACACGCTTTGGCAAAGTACAGTTATTCAAAGTGCCTTATCAAATAAATTAAATAAATAAACCAAACTGTTTTCTCTGCTCTTATGGATAAATTGAATACAGATAGAACTGCATCTCGGAGCTAACTCTGCTTTTTCTATTGAAAAATAACATAGAATTCCACGATGGCTGCTGGATCTTTCTGATGGCAAGTGCTGCAGAATTTGTGTCCCCTGGCCGAGGGAAAGATGGCATTTGTCACATGAGCTGGACACTTCCTAGGTTACCTCTTGTTTGTGGTGCTGAATGCTCACTCTATTTGTCCCTTCTTTCACATGTAAAGTTGTGTGGGTTTTTTTAGAATAACATCGTAGTTGCAACAGCAATTCTTTTTCTCATGATCTGGCAGTTGTGTTTATTTAAAAATGCATTATCTTTTCCATATCAAAATAATTTTATAAACTAGAACTACAAACTACTGCCATTATTCAGTCTTCCTTTTTCTCTAAACGCTGAAATGTCACAAACAGGGCTTTAGAAGTGTTCTGTTAATGCACACGTGTGAGTGTCAGGATGAGGGGTTCCCTGCCAGCCTTGCACTGCAGCTGAGGCAGGTGGAGCCCAGGCAGTGCTGCAGGTCGGGCTGGGCTCAGCCTCTGCCCCTGCAGCTCCCATGCTTGCATTTGTCCTCCTCCTGCCAGCATTAGTGGCAGCCTCATCTTGCCCAGGGAAAGCTGTGGTGTGAAGGCAAGATGGGATTTGGGATATAGGAAACAATTCTTTTCTACCTCTAGTCTTGTTTCTGTGGTTTTTGCTGTCCCAGTGTTGGAATGGGGCCTCTGGAAGAAGCAGAAGTGTTGGTGATCTTAAACAAAATCCAGCCTCTCTCAGCTCCACTGATCTTTCCTGAACTGTCTGGTACCTTAAAGTTAGTTTGCAGTTTCCCGTGTTCCACAGGGGCTCTGTAGAAGGAACAGTTATTTTAATGGAAAATGACAAATTTTTCTTATGATTAAAATATCAAGCCTATCCATTGACTGTTAAATCTAATTTGCTGTGACTGAAATGTTCTCCAGTGAGATAAGATAATCTCCTGTTATAGGTCAGAGGGCTCCAACTGATTTATGGGGGAAAACCTTGGTAGAAAATACAGAGCTGTGTTTTGTGCTCTTATTTTTCAGCTTTTCTATCATCACCTAGTTAGTCATTCTTTATAAGATTTCCATTTAGCAATCCATAAAGTGACTTCAAAGAAGGCTAAAAGTTTATAAGCTGTTGGATAAGCAAGGCTGGAGCTATCACATGAATAATGGAACATGCTTATGGAACTAATTGAATTCATATTAGATGAAGATAAGTACTTAGTAGTGATAAATAATGAGATAGGAAAATGAAACTATCAAAAGAACACACCCCTTTCACTATCTTATTTTCTGCCTGTGCACTGTAGGCTGTTTTAATCTTTGTATCAGAAGCAGTGTCAAACTTAGCCACAGCCTTTTTTGTTTTGTCAGAGAAAACGATTGTTTCTGCAAGTGTTTGTGTAGGAAGGTTATCAGTGTGATGGTGCTGATGGAGGGGAATGCCCTTGACCTGGGAGCTCCGTGCTGGAATGGGGCACATGTGGTTTCCATTGACTGCTGGGGATGCCTGTGCTGGGCTCTGAGATGTGGAGCTGTGACAGGCGACTCCAGCGGGCCGGGATCCACTTAGGGGAACATCCACCCTTTCCTGCTCTGCTTGGGGCACAGACCCAGCATGTGCACTTAGGATTAGTGACTGGAAAAGTGTTTCTGATCTTTTTTATTCATATTCCAGTTATTCAAAGACTTTTTCTGGGACTTCAGAACTGTTATTATCCTTGCAAGATTATCCAGGATGGATTTATGTGTGAAACTGCACATTGCATTTCAGAATGCTCTACTAACCCTTTTCCTAAGGAAAGAGGACACTGGTGTATATCATAAAAGCTACATGAGCAGATTTTTGTTTTGCTCTAACCTGGTATCAGTAAAAATATTCACTTGAGGAAAGAAACACTCAGTGAGATTCCTGTTGTGTGACACATGGCAGGACACCATGGCTGATCTCACCTGTGTTGGTGACATGTCCTGTGCAGCCAGGGCAGTGGAGCTGGGCCCCTCAGAATCCCCCACACCCATTTGGGGAGCCCTTTTTGGCACATTCCCCTGCTCCTGTTCGGGGTGAGGATGCCCTGCTCGGGGTCCCCTGTGACCACAGCCCAATTAGTGTGCACTGAGTCTGAGCTAACGAGCCTTGAGCTCAGGCCTGGCCCTGCCATGGGGCTCCCCTTCCCTGAACACACCCTGAGAATTCATTGACCACTGGCATCTGCCACTGGTACTGTTAATTGTTAATTATATTTTTGATTGGGGTGAGAAGCAGTAATTAGCTTTTCCCACCCATTTAGATTTAGTAAATCAATGCTTTTTCTACCTGTAACTGAGGAAGTTCAGCTTTTCCATTGGATCTTAATGAAGGTTATAGATTAACTTAAATCCAGGTCTTAAATCCCTAAAAGCAGTTTAGGCACTCACAAATATTCCCAGTATGACTGTACGTGGTTTCAGGAGCAGATTACTTATGGAATTGTCTTTTATCCAGTTATTGGGAAAATGGAAATAGCAGCCCCGTTTTACTGAGGGGTTCTGGGGGCTGTTTGAGGGTGGGTTTCCAGAAGCAGCCCTGCAGTACCAAGCAGGCAGGAGGTGTTGGTGGTGTGCCACAGCAGCACGGGTGCTGTTTGTCACTCAGTTGGCAACAGCTGCTTGTGATAAGGATCTGGGGAATCACCTGTAGAGGCTGGGGGTGCCCGGGCGGAAGGGTGGGAGATGGGCAGGGGGGGCAGCCCACCTGCTGTGCCCGGATCAAAGGGCCCCGGGGTCAGGGGGCACATCCCGCTTAAGCAGAGCTGTCTGCTGAATAGCCATTTCAGATTGTAAATCTGGCCCTGATTTCATTAAGTCCTTCTGGCTGCTCTTGGGGCATGAAATAATAAAATTTTATATCCGCTGCCTTTCCTGCTTCTGGCAGCCAGATTGACACATTGTTGTCTGCAGGGTTGTGGTGTTTTCCTTAAGAAAATAAATGGAAACTATTAATTCAGTGGAGACAAGTCATTAAGCAAATGGATTTTAGACTTGTTGTGAATCATACTTTCTTAACGATTTCAAAGCTAGTGCACAGGCTAGCAAGAGTATTCGTTTTTGTTAGGAGTTCTGCCTTTCCAAAAGAACCAGTGCAAGGTATGTTACCCTTTCACTGTTAGAACATTTTTAAGATGCTGATCACGTTTGTATCTGGTTATAAAACCTCACGATCGACTTGGTTTATGTTTTGGCAGCAGTTTAGCCGTGAAGTTACGCAAACCTGGTTTGTGGGAGGAAAGGCAGGGGGTGCTGGTGTTTGATGGTTCTGGACTTTTTGTTTTGTTTTGTTTTAAATTAAACTATTCAATAGAATTGTTCACCTGAAAGAAGTTTAACCTGGGATTCCTTTATGGCAGAAAATGCAGAACCTGCCAAGTGTAGCCAGTGCTGATAAAACAGCATTTAGTGTAAACTACTGTTATTGTTATGGATGAATATTGCTTCTAGAATGGGATGGAGGAGCACCCCTTAATTCCTCTATTAGAATATGGTTTCTGTGTTTTTGTGAACTTCCACATAAAACATTTAAATGACTCAAGTCTTTGGCTGCCTGTGAGCAGGGCAGGCACCCGGACTGCTCTTATTTACGGACCTGGTGTTTAAGGCCCCCCGGAGTTTGTTTGAAAAGTTAAGAGATTTTCACAGTAAAGGTGCCATTTCTGAAATTTAAAGTGCTCTTTTCACCAGGAGATAAGTTCTCTCTGATTAAGTCAGTAATTCTTACTAAGCCATGTTTATAGAGGCCATAAACAATGGGTTCAGTGTGCTTGTTAAACCAGCTTTCCATACCTCTCCACTCTTTTAAAAAGAGACATTTAAAATAAAAGGCAGGTGTAGATGTTAGTTTGATTTAGATGGATTTTAGGTGATTAATTATGGCTACAAGTAATTGGGCAAGGATGGCTAAGAAAGGTTTGCAGGAGTGAGATGGGATGCACATTTTCACTGAATCTCTCCTTTTGACTCAGTACATCCCTGACTGTGGGAAAATGAGATAAGGACTCTGTAATGTTCATGTTTCCTCTTGCTCCTTGCTTATCCACATTTCTTTTCAGCAAAATACAAACCTACTGAATACAGTCCAGGCTGTTGCACAGGTATCACTTGTAAAATTTTGTTTAGCTCTTCAGGAAGTTGTGAAATATGGACTGGGGCTGTGTGTGGCTTGTGGCTGTCCCTTCCCATTTCCAGAAAATTATGAGAACACACAAACTGTACTTGTGAAAGATGATCTACATGTTTTTGTGATTCACAGAATCCAGTGGGGCTTAATGTGAGAATTGCAACTGAATGCTGGGAATTTTTACTCAAATTCCAACGAGAGAGTAAATACTGTGATTTTCATGTTGGTTGGGCTGATGAGGTGCCAGGTTTAATGAAAGAAGTGTGTGGTTATTTAACAAAAGCCCTTATAACTGCCTGATACTAGCTTTATCAAAAGTGATAGTGACAGGAGAGATGATAAACCCAACTAAGGATTAAGATGAACTGGTCAGTCTACATTTCTGTAGAATGAGCCACAATTGGACCATCAAAAAATTATATGTTTTTGAATGCATTGCAAGACAGATGCTATTAATCAAGTCAGTCTCCAGTGTTTTATTAAATCCGAGGGCTGGTCTCAAGGGAAATCCTCTGCCTTTGTACAAATATTGCAAATCTTTACAGTGAGGTTGAGGCCTTGGTGGTGTAAAGGTGCAGCCCAGCAGAGTTTCACAGCAGCCTCCTTTTGGATATGATGATTTGTGGGCCAGGTGTGGGGTGATCCCCCTGAGCAGTGTTTACAGTCCCTGTACCACGAGTGCATCCTGGTGGGTTATCCCCCCTGGCCCAGCCCTGCTTGGCACGAGGCTGTTGTGTCTCCAGAAAAGCCCACGTTTTGCTGAAGGGGAGGTGCAGATTCCCCACCAGAGGTACAGAAACACCCCTGGCACGTTCCCCACACTGTGCTGCTTCTTTGGCAGCAAGCAGGAGGATTTCCTCCTTCTGTCTTGTCCTGCCAGCACCGAGCCTGACAAGCTTCTGGCTTTGGTTAAGTACTTTGCAAGACCTTTTTGTTGGAGGTTTTTAGACTCCTCTGAGTATAAGTGAGATTTTTAATTTTCTGAAACAGGAAGGAGCAAATCAGTTTGTCTGGTGCTTCCGGACTCCTAGAAGGAGCAAGGCTCCTGGATTGCTTTAGAGTTTATCAGATGCAGCCAACGGGGTGACCTTTGGTTCCTGCAAGCAAAGTACCTGGCTTGTCAGGCAGTGCTGGTGCTCTTTATATGGAAAGCATTAAATGTAATATTCTTCTGTTGAAGTTAAAGAAATGTCTCATGAAGACCTAAACTTAAATGTCTACAAAGTGGGTTTTATGGTTGTTGGGTTTTTTTTCAGCCCTAAGTACACAGCAGTTTGCTTTATAGACAGAGGACTGAGCCTTGAAAACTGAGGGTAATTATTTAGCTGCCTAAGGCTCAACTTTGCCATTGTTTTAGGGCTTTAGTTCCTTTCTTTTAAAGGAAACAATTCCCTCCACCCCACAAAACCTTAATTAAAAATTGAGTATGTTTTTGTTCACTTTCCTGCTCAGTAACTTTCATTTGGTCCTGTGTGTAGGTAGCCAGGTACTTAAACATTTTTTACAGTGTCACTGGGAAATTTCTTCAATTACCATATTCTATAATTCCAGTTTTTCTGATTTTGAGTTTTCAAAGCTTTATTTGAAAAGATTAAACTTGTGTGATTAGTCAGTCATAAAATAATTCAAGTCTCCTGTTAGTGGAAGAAGCGTTCAGTGTTTAAAGCTGCTCTGTTTGGTATCAGTGACTCATTTACTGTTGATTAGGCAGGGAAATCAAGTCTGGCAGTATTTAAATTTGTTTAGATCACAGATACCTTCAGACACTCAGAGTCACAGGTATTGATGGTCGTTTTTTTGAGAAATAGATTCTTCTTTTCTATGTGTAAGTACTGTTAGTAGATTAGAAATTTCTCCTCAATTCATGGGGACAGAAGAGAAAGTTCAAACTTGCTGACCAGGATATGGTGGAATTAAAATTCTCTTAGCTTTGTTTCTTCCCCCCATTTTAACTGATTAGGCTCTCATAGCATCCATTTTACTTAAATGCAGTTGTAAACTTGTCGTTATTAGCCTTCTAAAATTCAACCTGGATTTTGGAAACTAGTTCCCATCCCTGATTTAATGCAACTCTCAACTCGTGGAAAATCCACTCTTTATTGTTAATTAAATTAATTCCCAAATATAAAAATATTTGCTCGAAATCCTGACTTGACTAGAAACTGTTAAATGTGCAAACAGGACACGAAGACAAACATTTGTAGAGGTGCTTGAAATAAATCTTTGCTTGAATAATCACAGACCCTCTGGTTTGACAAATTTCAGTGTGCATGTTGTTAAGAAAACTTCCCTCTGCCATCTGAAGGTTAATTTTTTAGCATTGTAAAATGAACAAATAAAACAAATGATGACAGGAAGTCATGAATGTTGATTGTTTTTAAAATGGTTGAGGTTCTGTAGTTCCATATTGTTCTGCCATCATTTGTGTCCTTTATGCATAAAATTGAATTCCCCATACTTACATTTTCCTTTCCCTTTTCCTGAATGTGCTCACATATAGAAAGTAAGAAGCATGGCCCTGGAAGATGTGGTGATCCTTAACGTAGACACCAACACACTGGAAACCCCTTTTGATGACCTTCAGAGCCTCCCCAATGATGTGGTATGTATGGAGTGACTTCTCCAAGGTTCTGTTCCTGCCAGCAATTCTGTGACTGAGGGGTGTCACTGGGAGCTCTCGTTGGCAGCACTGAACTGCTGCCCTCAGTTCCTGCTGTCCCAAAGGGTGCAGGAATGTTTGCTTCAACATCTGCAGACGTGCACTGGAGCCTCCCAGTGAAAATCAGCTAATGCTCACATGAGCTAGAAATCCTGCATCTTTAGGTAATTGTTGTTTCCAAATGAAATCGTGTGCGTTTTCCTCCTGTGACTGTTTCCAGGTGAGCTTTAAGGAATTTCGTGCATTTTATATCCTGAGATATGATATTAAATGGGTGCCTTCACATTCACTTCAATTACTGCTGGAATTCAGAACTCATTTTCTTTCTCATTCACCCTTTTTCTTGGTAAATTATTTCAAGTTTTTAATAACTTGATAGTAATGGTGTGTAAATACTTGACATTTAATGGGACACAAAGATATCCCACTTGCTGCTGCAGGCATCTCCAGTGGAGGAGCTGAGAGTGTCAGGAGCTGTTTTCAAGGCAGAGAGTGAATGTTTAGGAGAACGTGGCAGGGGAAAATCTGGATTTCCTTTGCTAGTTGGAAATATTGCACTGCCAGTCAGATCTGAACATTTGCATGTGCAGTTGAGAAATAGAATTGATGTGCAGGGAGCTCAATGTAAGCTGTGTGTGAGGAGAAGCTGCACTGAGGGTGAATTCCCAGTGCCTCCAACAGGATCTGTTCTTCAAAAACAGGGAGCTCAGGAGGAGAGAGGACCATCTTGATTGGGAACATTCTGGCTTTAGTCAAGCATTTAGTCTGTAAAAGTTGATTCCATGATTTTTTCTGGCTTTATATAGTTTTTCATTTTGATTTCACTCCCAGCATCCAAATCTGCCAGCTGGTCACTGCTCGTGCCATTATCCACAACCCGGGAATGACAGACCTGTAAATTTCATGGAATTATGTAAGAAATGTCTGGATCCACTGAGCACGGGGCCTCAAACATGTATATGATTTGTCAACAATCAAGTATTATATTAGATTTTATGAGACTTCATTAAAGGAGCTGTTGTGGGCACACTGTAGAACATCAGAAGAGACTTCTCCAATAAACACAGAACTTCAAGCTTTGGAATGTAATAAATTTTAAGAGACTTCCTTCCTTTCATTATTTACTTTTACTTCACTTTTATAACAGTAAAGAGTTGTGTTTTATTAGTTCAAATTTCTTGATTCAGTTTTCCACAGGTCTATTTAAAAGCTCCATTTTATCTCAGAGGATGTCGAGAGCAGAGCAGAGGAAGTGCTGCCAGCAAATTCAATTAACTGGCAGGGCTCACCAGTAGCATATATGGGGTATTTTTTTTCACAACTGCTATATAAATACAGCTGGGATTAATATTTTTCACAACAAAGCTTTAAGTTGAGTCGTGTTGCGTTGTGTAATTAATGTTTGTGCTGGGGGTTTATGTGGGATTTAGCTCTGGTGCATTGTTGCTGTTACCTGGATGATGCAGTTCCTCCTCCAGGTCTCTCCCTTCACACGGTTCCAGAGTTGGCTTTGACCACTAGAGAGCAGCTGCTCTGCTGTGCAAGAATTGAATTTCTGTCAGTTCTTTCATGCATCATGTGTTTGGAACTGTAAGTGGATCAAGTTGTTCATCTCAGCAGGGAGACACTAAAGCCAATCCATTATACTTTTTTTTTCTTTTCTTTTTTTTTTCCTTTTTACTTCCCTGGGAGATTTTGGGAGTGTGTCTCCCCACTGGTTTTAGTCTAAGTAGATGCATTTATGATCTGAGAAACTAAAAATGTCTTCAAGAGTTTCCTGATCATAAATGCCTGTTATGTCAAACTACCCTGCCAGTTTTGCTACTTAATGTGAGCAGTGAGCAATTCATGCACTGCTGAATAGACAAAATTTACTTTGCTAAATTAAATCTATCTATATTCATCAGTGAGCAAAAACATTTTCTCTGTGGTGCATTCACCATCAGGTAATTAATCCAGTGGAAAATTTCTAAAAGCTGATTTCCCTCTCTCCTTGAACTGCTTTTTAAATCAAGTGAATGAAGTCTTATGATTGTTTTAGAGCCTCAGGTAGTGAGTTGTTCTTGAGTTTCATGATAGAGATGTTGCTACCTAAACTGGTTCTTGGAAATCGAGAATGAACTGTTCTTTACTCTTTAATTCTTAGGCTCCAAACAAACATAGGGCTTAGTGAAAGGTCTTTCCAGCTAGAATTTGTGTCAGAGGAGTTCCAGCAGAGTCAGCTCAAGTTGCTCCTTTTCCCTAGTTTATGTTAGCAGTACCTGCTGGCTGTCAGGCTTCTGAAATAGCCAGGTCATGTCCCTGAAAACCAAGGTTTGTACCACTGTGTTACTGATTAACTATTTGAAATGTGAAAACCTGCCCCTTCTTTACCTTCTGCCTCTGCTGTATTGCTGGAAATCTGGCAGCATGAGAGCACCCTGGGAAGTAACTTTCCTTTTAAAATAATCAATATTTAAAAAAGAGATTTATTAAGGACTGTGATTACAATAAGTGCATCTGCTGCTGACAAGTCTCCTACACCACCGTCTGTGTTGCAACGAATAGCAAAGAGGGGGTAGTAATTTTTTTTTATGCAACCCGTATGGATTTTTCATGTATTTCCAAATAAGTGTCATCTTCTAGTCATAGTTGTAGTCAGAGTCCCACGTTGCAAGGAATGAAGTATAATAAAGTATCAGCTTGCTGTGTCAGCTCGTAGCTGTGTGTGTGCTGGGGGAGGCTGGGGGTCTGTGGGGTGCCGGCCTCAGCTCTGGGGCTCCTGCTGCCTCTCCCCCCGAGCCAGCACGGGCAGCACGCCAGGGCTGCTGGTGCTCACCCAGGGAATGAGCTGCTTCCAGGGCAGCCAGGAGGCCCAAACTGCAGCTCTGCAGCCAAACCATTCTCCTAAAGGTGAATCCATTTTTATTTCTTACGCTGTGTTTGCACTAGAACGTTTCTTGCTTTATTCATGTTGACAACTGAAAAGCCTTGGACCTAATTAAAAGAATTTCCACTAGCACCTTTACTGAACCATTTCATTCTGCTGCATTGCACAGATTGCATTCTGAAACATGGTGAGAGTTGAAATCAGACCTTTAAACCTCAACTGCCAGAAGTATAAAAATCTTCTTTAAAAACACTCTCAGGGTAGACTGCATGTATATGTGTCTGTTGGCTAGAAATAATCCTTATTTTCAGTGGTCACAATTTGAGGTTTTTTTAAAGTATCATTGTCTCTTTAGGCAGGAAACAACCCTAATTCTGCTTGTATAGTCTACTTTGTATTACATGCTAAATTTTTCCGGAGAGTACACTTGAGAGTGTTTTGGGGTAGATTTTTTTGCTACTTGTTAGTATATTTAAATATGTTGTTGTTAACTTTTTTTTTGTTTAAAAATTGACATGCCTCTTGCAGTAATCCCATATATGTATAAAATGGACATTCTACAGTGTTTGAGGAAGTAGCAAAACACCAGTCAATATTCTGCTTCTGTCCCAACCTGGGGAGGTGAAGCACAGAAACGCTGTGACCAGGCCTCTGAACTCCTGGTTTGTTTAAAACAAAACATAGAGCTTTTTCCTTCTATATAGATGGAAGGTTCTGTATCTTCACATGAATGTTTACAGAAAACCCTTTACAACAATGTTGGAGATGGATTTGAAAGTTTCTCAGAGCTCTGGCTATTTTATTACACTTTTAAGAACTACCTTTAAATGGTTAATATAAGTTAATACAGAAAATAAAAACATATTTTGACCCTACAAGTCTAGAACCCATCAAACATGAAGTATGCTGTTTGGGTTTGAAAATCTGGTGAAGCTTTTATATTTAGAGGATTACAGAACTCCTTGAGGAACATTATCTCAGTGAATAGGAGTGAGCTTATTTTACAGGCTTCAGACTAAATCTGGTATCATGTGTTATGTTAATATGGGTTTGTGGGCTCATTAATGTGTGGATCATTGGCATAAGCATTCAGATTTATAAACAGTGCTGGACACGCTCTTGGTTATTTCTGTTATACTAAATAATGAAACGCCTTTTACAGCAGAATCTGCAGATTTAAAAGGAAATGTCTTTGCAACCATTTTAGTAAGCACAAATGCAAAGATAACATCTAAAAGAAAAGCGAGTAGTGCCCAGCATGGATTCTATATTTAACACCTGTGGAGCACGACAAGGAGTCACTGTGCCCTCCCCAAATGCAGGAGTGCTGCAGGAAGGGGTTAAGTGAGGGATGGCACTGAGGCACTCACAGACAGCTCAGGAAAACCAGGCTGCCCTGGGCGAGCCGCCCCGGGGCTCAGAAAACTCAACCCATCCCCTAGGATTTTGGAGATAGGCATGAGGCCACAGCAAGCTTTTGTTGAGGGCTAGAGGATGGGAAGAAGGTCTTGAAAGTTAATTTGAACATTTGAACCATCAGCTTATATTTTATGAGGTGTAATTCATACTCTTCAAAAACAGTTAGTGATGGTCACTATCGGAGGATCTGCTCACTCTGGCAGTAATATTCCTACAGTGATTTTTGCACAGTGTGAAGTACACACAGAGCTACCCCATGGAGATTTTCAGTATGGCGTTTGGAAAAGGAAGATTTGCTAGTTATTGGCTCTTTCTGTTAAATTCATCATATGGATATTTATGGAGTCAGTCATGTTCTCCTGCAGATCGGAGAGATCTCCTGCTGTTCTGCTTTCCCCCTGAAATTGTGGCTCCCTCCTGTTTTTTGTGTCAGGTATCTCACTAAACTCGGGCTTTGTGCGTGGCATGGCCGCAGCCTCTAAAAGCCCCACCTGAATTCCTTTTGAGAATCAGTGCCCCAGGTATTCGGGTTTGTCTTGCTTGCATTTTGTGAGATCTGTGTCAGAACCTCAGCTTGTCCTGGTTCTGTCTGCAGCGCCAGAGCCGTGAGGGATCATGAGGGAGCCGTGAGAAGAACGGTGAGGGAGCCATGAGGGGCCGTGAGGGAATCGTGAGGGATCATGAGGGAGCCGTGAGGGAGCTGTGAGAAGAACGATGAGGGGCCGTGAGGGAATCGTGAGGAGAACCGTGACGAGAACCGTGAGAGGCCGTGAGGAGCCATGAGGGAACCGTGAGGAGGGGTCATGAGGGAGCCGTGAGGAGAACCGTGAGGGAATCGTGAGGAAACCGTGAGGGAGCCATGAGGGGCCGTGAGGGAATCGTGAGGAGAACCGTGAGAGGCGGCTGAGGCAGGACACAGCGGATCCCAGGCACGGCCGAGCCCTCGGCAAACAACTCCAAAAACGTTGAGAACAGGAAAAAGCTCCAGATCACAGCGAGAAAAAGTGTGAGGAGTAAAGAACGGCGGGAGGGGCTGTCAGGACTGACATGAGAGGAGGGGAGGCGGGACTGGGGCGGGGAGTTGGGCCGGTAAAAGGCGGTGGCAGGGGAAGGTTTGAAGTTTCTGTCTTTGTTTCTTACTATGGGACTGTATTTAATTGTCAATACATTACATTAAGTTAACACATTGGAGCCTGTGGCTCATGGGTACGCATTTCCTTGAGGCCCCGAGGCTGGTGCGCGTGTTTGCCCCGAGTGCTGCTGAGGGGCAGCGGGCGCTCCGGGAGCCGGCTGGGGGTACCCGCACAGCCTGAAACACAGCCAGAAACACCGCCAGAAACACAGCCCTCGCTGAGTCATTGCCCCTTCAGACTCTGAAATGCGAGGGGATATAACCATAAAAACCCCTTGTATTTGTGACAAATAGATTCTTCAGACCTTCAGGATTTGTTCCTGGCCCTGGTGGTGATGGATGGCCTGGTTATGTGGAGCAGTTTCTCGTATTAATCTGATGTTTGAATTAATTTAGCTGCAATTCTTTCATGGATTCTGATCGTGATACAGTTTCATGGACTACCTTTAAAAGAGTACTCAACAGCATGTTAACAGTGGATTTTAAGTAGGAGGGAAGGTTCAATGAAGCTTTTAGTATCCTATTGGTTTCTGAATAGAATCCAGTCGTATCTTAGAGAAGCAAAACAGCTTGAAAAGTAATGCTTTTAGAACTGAAAAATTCATCTCTGAATTCACAATGTCACCTTTTGTCATAACTGCTATTGTGGTTAGCACATTTTTCATTTAGCTGTGCCCCAATGTGTTGCGCTTTGTTTGTGATATGAGAGTGATCTAGACCTGCTGTGTGATTTCAGGTTTCTGCACTGAAGAACAGATTGAAGAAAGTCTCTACAACCACTGGAGATGGTGTGGCAAGAGCGTTTCTAAAAGCACAAGCAGCTTTCTTTGGGAGCTACAGAAACGCCCTGAAAATTGAACCTGTAAGTAGGCAATTAGTCGACATAAGATGTAAATGTGCAGCTGTGGTGGAGAAAAAAACTAACAGTTCAAAGTGGAGCATAACCTGCTTTTCCTGAGGCCAGCATGGTGGCTCTTTGGCTGACTAGTACTGAAAACAGTGTTAAAGTCTCCAGAGTGAAAGAGGTGCAACAAGCATGATCCATCACACAGGGAAAAACTTTCCCATGGAAAGGTGTGGGCATTACTTGGTTTTGAAGGCAGTCAAATTAGAGGAGAGATGATAAAAAAGAATAAATGAATGATCATAAGAGACTAGTGCAGGGCTGACCATTCCCTCCCCTGCAAAACCCATCTTTTCATTGTGTTTTTGTGTTAAAAGTTGGTGTATTTGGCATTCTCTTGCTCTTTGAAGATTAATGAAAAGATCTGGCCTGCAGACATGTGATAAATTTAATTTTAACCATGATGTTAAATGGTCACATGGCCAAAATTTGTACTATGAGTGTAGTGTTTCTTGAGGATTTCAGAAGCTAAACTCTCTCCAGTACTGTAGTTTGTCCTGTTATTTTTAAAGCCAGGAGGAAAACATAGCTCAGGCTGACTTTTAAACAGCCCAGTTATCACCATCAAATAAGTATCATTTCAACGGTTCAGATTCAGGTTTCAAAAATTACTTTTCAAGTCAGCACAAGTCCTTCCAGATCTTACTGGGGGAATTCGTGTATGTGGAAAAAATAAAATTGTATTGACTTGTGTGTGTATGTCTGGGTGTAAGAACTGGGCTTTTAAAGCATCTCAGGTGAAATCATGGAGGGATTTAAAATGGGGACCATAGAAATGACAAAGATGGAAGCAGCGAGGCGCTCTGGCTGTGAGCCTCCTTTATCCCTGCTGGGGAGACACTGACTCCCCTCCATCCCTGCAGGCTTCCTTGTTCTCCACTGCTCCTCCCTGTAGTTGCCAGGCAACTCTGGGAATATTGGTGTATGCTTTGCCTGGATGTGTGTGTGAGATTAACTAGTTAAGGGGTTTATGAAGGAAAATAAAAATTTAAATTGCTGTTCTGGAAATACCATCTGGTATTTTGAAGGCTGAATGTTAAATATGAACATTTGAAATGAGTTGACAGTGACACGCCCCTAGAAAGTGCAACTTTGAGGGGCAGCTAACCTGAAGAAGTTGCAGAAATGGTTTGGTTTGCTTATCATTCCATCAAAGAAAACTTGTAAATATAGCTGCACAAACATGTCATAAAATTCACTTTAATAATCAGGAAGTGGAAAATCTCAGGGCTTTCTTTTCTAAGGTTTTTTGTAAATCAGTGGTTTGATTTGTGGTTATACCTTTCAACATTAAGATTTAGATAAAGCAAATTTGCAGTTGTTTCATGTATCACCTTCACACAGAGTAAGTACAGGGCATTAAGCAATACCAAACATGAGATGGTTCTTTACATTTCATGTCCTATAACTCCAGAAACCTGACTGTTCATTTAAAATCATCGATAATTAGAAAAGAAATTCAAAGAAGCAGCAGCTTTTCCTCCTTTCATAGTTTCTGTCTCATAAGACAGTTGAATTTCATATACTACCTCATTGGTATGAGCTGACTTTTCAGGATAAATGGTGTGAATCTATTTTTCATTATTCTGTGTAGGCCCAGGATGTGTCACTGAGCAGGCTCTACATTCACATTATTATACTTCAGCATAGGAAGAGCTCTTTTTCTGAGGCTTTTACTCTAGAGATACAAGGTTGTGTAATGTACTTACAAACAGAACACTGGCAATGAGTTTCTGTTGCCATGAACTTTCTGAGGCCTTTGCTAACTAGAAATTACATGAAAAAACATATCCATGTATACAGTTGGCAAGCATAATAATAATAATAGTAATACTTACTTGCCAAAGTAAGTGCTGCAATGCTGTTTCCTGTGGTGTTTCCCATAGCTGCACTGAGCCAGGTTTAAATGCAGAGGAGTATCTGCTGGGTGGGATGTGCTTACAGCCCCACAAAGCTGTGCTGCTATGAAGTCCAGTCACAGCCAGCAGCAGCTGGGTGTTCACTGGGCTGTGCTGAGGCACATTATCCTGATGCATGTGGCTTAAATATCTACCAGCGACACCAGTGAGAGCATTTTGTTCACTCAAATGACTTTTTTCAAATTGCCAATTGTTTTGTTGTTTGCAGAGGGAATGTTTTTATCTCTTCTAAATATTTAATTCACGCAAGTAGGTCATCTCCATCAGAGAAATCTGTGTGAATCCGAGGTGTGTGTAAAGGTGCTTGGTAGGACTGAGCAGTTGGGGGATGTTGGGAAGCCAGGCTCAGGTTTTCGGGATGGGAGCCGTGGCCGTGCACTTTCTTCTGCTGACACCTAGTGGTCGCAGCATTGCAGTCGGACTCTCGCAGTGTTTGTGAGGATCCCCCACACCTGCGGCTCGGGGAAAGCTCGGCTGGGCTGGCCCAGAGCAGTGTGACCCGGCACGATGTGCTGCTGCTGCAGCCTCAGCCCTGTGGGCTTTGTGTCCCCCCGCTGTGTCCAGGCAATGCTGGGATGCACAGGCATCCCAAATGACAAGAGGTGTGCCTGTTCTCTGGCACTGCAGCGATTCTGACAGGGCTGCTTCTTGTAGGAAACCACGGGATTACATCCTGTTACCGTGTTGTAAATATTCCTCCACGGGCTACACCTTTCACATCGCACTGACACCTCCTTGCATGCAGTGGGGAGTACTGAGCATAAGTGAATCTCTTCAGTGAAGCATCAGTTAATTCTCTTTGTCTTCATGGTTAATTGTTCAGTCTTACTCAGGTTTATTTGCCTGAGCAACCATTAGTTGTAAACTGGGTAATTTCTGATTATTTGAATTGTTCTGAATTAATTTGGTTTAAATTTAACCTAAATATTTCTTGGATGCATCTGCTTAAGAGTAAGCAGGAAATCTGAGGCAGAGTCAATGTGCTTTTCTATTTCCATGCTTTTCATGTGTTTCCACTGCTGAAGTTACTTTCTAATTTGTGAACTGCTGATCTTAATATGAAACTACTTATTGAAACTCACAGATGTTTTATATACTCCAGTTTTCACACTGCTTTAGCTGTACTACACTGGTGGAGGAATCTGTGTTATATGCACATTGCTGCCTGAGTTCTGTTGTCCTGTCAAAGCCTGATAATTTATATTTGGATTTTAAATAGACAATGTACTACCAATTTTCATAATTATAATTTAATATGAATTTTCTCATAATACAATGCAATTTGAGCAATGGTGGGGGAAGAAACCATTATGAATAGCGGGAAATAAGGTTTTTTCTTTTTCAACATAACACTCAATTCAACTTAAGGAGATAGTTAATGCATTAATTGTTTTATAGGAATCTCAACAGACACAATAAATGCCTTCAGCAGTTCCAGATTCACAAGATCAGAGTCAGAAAAGTAGATGATATTTGGTGCAGAGTGAAAAAGCAAATGCCAGATGATTCAAAAAGGAAATTTTGTTGGAATGTGTGTGCAGTAATATAAAGCAAGTGCATGCTACGTACTGGTGCATAATTCATTTTGCAAAGGCTTTGTAGCATTCAGTGCTTTATCTACTATGAAGTATGATTGTTGCCATGGTGAATTATTTTTTTAAGTTATTCAGTGGAAGAGTAAATAGTCATTTCCAGCTCCCAGTAATTGCCACATCCCAGTTCCTTCCTCTCCATGGCCATCTTCTGCCTAGCTTCTTTTCCTTGCATGTATATTTTAAAGGCACACACTGCATGCAGAGTAGATACTTCCCTGTCACCAGAACTGTCTCCACAGTTCAGAGCTTTAGGAGTGTTTGTCCGTCTGTAGAAAATATGAAGAAGGATGATCCCTCATGCTTATATAACTCGTGCACAGACCCATTAAAATGAACCCCAAGCTGTGGGGGAAACAGTGAGCAGAAGCTTGTTAAATAGAACTTATTGTTTTACTTGCAGTTTTGTTGTGTTCTGTTTAAAGTCAGTGCTGATATATAGCATCAGGAATTTTCTCGTACCCATCTTTACTCTTCTCCTGTTCAAGTGGTTGAGCTCTCAAATCCCTGCCTGTAGAGGCAATCTAGGGGTGCCTAAATGACAGTAGTTTCTAAATGTCATTCTAGTGACTTTACTGACAGGTAGGAGTAGACAATGAGAATGGCACTGACAGTGTGCAAAATCAGATTTTTTTGTGATAAAAACGGACATAAATTGAGTTTCTGTATAGCCTGGAACTGAAATTTAAGGCTTTTTTTCTTCCTAGTCTGAAGATTCTGTGTTTTGGGAATGTTAAAGACCCAAGGTTTCAGCAACCTCCCTTAGAAGCCACCTGTAACTATTGCTGTGTTTTACCATCTCTGGGAAGTGCTGAATTCACAGTCACTGACTGGAAAAGATTTAGTGGGGAAACACAGTTTTGTTTGTTTTCTGTGTGATGTTTGTTTTCATTTCAATTCTGTTGCTGTTTCCTCTCTGAGCCTTACTGTTGCTATAGACAAATTTCTGCTTTTGCTGTTTTAAACCTTAAAAATGGCTCTTTTTCTAACAAGCAGTTACTGTTCTTCAAAATGGCATTTATTATTCTACATCTAAGTCTGTTGAGATATACATATGTTAATGAACCTGAAAAGACATTTTCTTTAATCTCTTCTAGCAGTCTGGTATGTAGTAAATAGAATTGTTTTGTAATTTCCAAACTGTTGTAAGATCCTATGTTATCTAATTCTGTATGCTCAGGGGAGGGGGAACCCAGGATTCTGAGGGGAAGGTAATAAAAAGTAAAATTTGAGAAAGTTAACATGACCCTCTGCTGATTGTGGTGTTTCTGCCTGGAAAAAAGGTGCAAGCAAACTTCCCTGTCCATCATGCATGTTAAAGTAAAACTCCAGCAGAACCCCAATCAAAGCAAAAGCAGCAAGCACAGCCCCCATTGTGGGAATGGTTTTGGGTGTAGGAGCTTTGCCCACAGTAAAGGATGGGGTGCTCTGCCCCTCGCTGTGCAGT